CTCCAGCATGTCTGCCATGCGGTTGTAGAAGGCGGCCATGTCGCGGTCGTGGTCCAGCATCGCACGCCGCAGCACCACCTCCTCCGCCGCCGGCACAAACGCCACCACCGCGTCGTGGCCGATGGCGGCGTGCTCCGCCTCGCCCTCGGCGTGCACCTACGGCAAGCGGGAGGGGAGAGCAGGAGGGCTGCGCTGAGACGCGCGGCGTGCGGGGGCATATGCCGCGCCCGCGCTGGCGGCCCCTCTCGGCCCGCCGCCGCCGCTGCTGCTGCTGCTGCTGCCGCCGCCGCCGCCTCCCCGCGCCCTCACCTCCAGGAAGACCCACTCGGTGAGCGGGCGCCCCGCGGGGGCCAGCACACGCGCGTCCAGCGCTCGGAACGAGTCCAGCATCCACGTCTTCTCGTAGTCGGCCAGGTACTCGATGGCCAGGTTGTAGCCCATGGCGTAGCAGGCCTGGGGTGGGGGCGGGTGGGGGGAGGGGGGCAGGGGCAGGTGTGTGTGTGTGTGTGTGGGCGTGCGCAGGCACGAGTGGTGGTGGTGGTGGGAGCGGCGGTTGAGAGGGCGGGCAAGGGCACGCGGAGGCGAGGAGACGGCGGGGGTGCAGGATGCGCGGCAGGCGCTTCTGCGGGCGCTGCCTGTTGCTCTGGCGCCCTGGCACGGCGGCCCCCCACAAGCCGCACCACAACCTGACCCCCACTCCCCACCCCCCCCACACACCTGCTGCATGGCGTCTGCGCAGGCGGTGTTGAGGTCGCGCATCATCTGGGCGAAGAAGCGGTGGGCGGCTGCGGGGCGCGGGTTGGCCGCCAGTGCCTCCTCCAGAGGCTCCCGCAGCAGGTCGGCGTAGAAGAGGGAGAAGAGCTCGCGGTGGGTGAGGGCTGCGGGGGCCAGGGGGCGCAGGAGGGGGTGACCCACGGTGTGAGGGGGGCTGCACTGGCCAGGTGCGTGGCGGTGATGAGCGCAGCGCATGCATGCTGCATCAGCGCAACAGACGCGCTGCCACCATGTCCGGCCAGCGAGGGGCGCCAGCCGATGTGCGCTGCATTTTCCAGGGACCCCCGCCCCGCCCCCCTGCAGCACCCCCCCGCTCACCCTGCGCCTCGTTGTTGTGCATGCCGTACTCGCCCGCCAGCGGCTGGATCAGGCTCTTCAGCGCCGTGTCGCGCCGCACATAGTCGCTGACGCCGATGGTCTGCTGCACCCTGAGCAGCACCGCGGTGAAGGCAGGGTTGAAGGACTCCAGGTTGTAGGCCAGCTCGCACATGACGGGGCGCAGGGCGGCCTCTGCGGGGCAGGCAAGGGCGGGCGCAGGGGGAGGAAGGGCCAGCGTGTTGGGGCGGGAGCCAGGGAGGAGGGGGAGCAGCGGGTGGACAGACAGGGGGCATATGCCGCTGCACGGCACGCAGGGCTTCCCGTGGGGCCCCATGACGGCGCCAGCAGGCTCGGCCTCACCCCAGCTGCCGGCGGGCAGGTTGGCGAGGAGGTCGTTGAAGCGGCGCAGCGCGGCGATGGAGGCGCCGTTGTCCAGCTCGGCCTGTGCGGGATGAGCAGGGAGTGGAGGCAAGCAGGCGGATCAGCGTCCACAACAGGAATGAACACACGATGTGGGATTGGTAGGGCCCATTGGGTGAGAGTGTGCAGCTGGCGCACGCTAGCAACTCAGCAAGAACGGGCGGGCGAGCGGCGGGGCAGGAATGCGCGTGCGTTGCCCCCCTCCCCGCAGGGCGCACCTCCAGGGCCCGCACGGTCTCCCTGCTGATCAGCTCGGGCAGCTGGGCGTGGCCTGCACGCCAGGGCGAGCAGGGTGGGCGCCTGCCTTGGCCCGACCGGGTTCTGCCTCCCGGCAGCACAGGAACACTAGCATGATCACTGCCGAGCTGTCGGGAAGAAGAGCAGTGGGCAGCTCACCGATGCTAGGGCTCTCGGGCGCAGCCTTCTGCAGGGGTGCCGCTACACATGCCGCCACAGACCGCTGCAGCCACGGCATTGCACGTGTGAGCGTTCCGTTCATGCATCCAGGCACTGCAGGGCCCACATGCACGCCGCACCTTGCTGCTGTAGCCCCTCGGGGGGGCTGGCTTAGCTGCCACCGCCCGGCGCTGGGCACCCGCTGCCTGGGCAACGGGGATGCAGGCGACCTGGGCTGCAAGGACGGTCGCCATGGTGCAACGGAAGAGGCAGACACCTTGGGCTGGGCCCTCTTCCTGCCCGGCAGCGCCGCAAGTACGTCCCGCCTGCGCGGCGCGCTGAAAGGTGCTGCTTGCTCTCTCCTCCCTGGGGCAGCTTACAGTCAGGGGGCTCCACACACGTGCTGGGCCCTTTCAATGCAACAGGATGAAGGGATGCACGGCATGGCGGCCTGCAACACGGGCGCCCACCGCTCACGTCATCCGGTGCGCAGGATGATGTGGCAGCCTGCACACAAGACAGATGGCGATGCGCAAAGCGGGTTGGTGCATTGCATGGCCGGGAGGGAGGCATCCTGCGATGCATGCCCCTGTATGCATCAAATGCAACGATGCCCCGCTCCCCGCACCAAATCGCGCACCCGAGTCGCTGAACATTGGCTGGCTGAGCTCTCCAACCTGCAGCGCAAATGCCGCATCCTCAAAAGCCTTCTGCATCTGTCCGCGCCTGCGCGAGCACAGGGAGTGGGAGTTCGACAGTGCTGCCATCAATAGAACAACTTGGCAACAAAAGGGGTGAAACCAACGGAGCCAGCCAGCGACGCGGGCAGCGCAGCAAGCAGGCCGCCAGCATGCATTGCATCATCAGCAGGCAGTACATGCTGCCTGCCACTGCTTTTACCCGAACCAGCCCAAGTCCCCGCCGCTGCGTGCCGATCCGCAGTGGCTCTCCGTGGTGGCCAGGGCCGCAAAGGCAGCGGCCAGGTCGGGTGCCGCGGCGATCTGCTCCCGGAACCGCTTCACCATGGCCAGCGCCTCCTCCTCGCTGCGCGTCACGACCGGCTCCTTCCAGCTGCTGGGCCGCCGGCTGTTCTTGTGCTTTACCAGCAGGTGGCTGGCACGCACTTCGGAGGGCGCCGCCATGCTTGGCTGGGAGGCAGGTAGTGCTAGCTACTGGCGCTCCGATCCGGCAAGCAGTTGGTGGGCTGCGACCTGCAAGGATGCCAAGCATTGGAGGGGACATTGTTCATTCAAACAGGGCCAGCCCTCTCGGCCGCGGCAGATGCGGAGGTGGACAGGCGGCGGCGGCAGGTCCGTGGCAATGGCGCCCCATGTGCCATGCATGGCTGAGCGTCTGAGACGCCTACGGGCGATACTGATCGAGGCAGCGAGTGTCGGGAGTTGCACCAGTCTGTTGATAGCACACCTTTGAAGTGAGTAGCCCGCACAGCAGGACCAGTCCGTTTGTGACGATATACGAGCCTATTGTGGAGGATTTGGATGAATGAATCGCAGATGCAAGGCTTCCCATGTACTGCGTATGTACAGCACAGAAAATGTCCATCCGTCTGCCCCTCAGTCGTCGCCCCCATCCCCCCGGTCCTCGCATTGCCACTTGATCACCAATTCGCCCCCCGCTCCTCCAAAAGGCCACTCCCCCGGGGTGCCACTCAATTTGGGCAGGTGAGGGTGGGGCCCCTGGAAACGCCAGCCCCTGTGACTGACCCCTGCTGCCCGCAGCCTGCATGTCGCTTAGGCGCTGCTCCTGCTGGGGGCGCTGCACTCAAACACAACCGAATGACACGCGGCTAGCCGATCTCTTGTTGCTGCTGGGGAGTGTCGACCGCCCGCCCCTGGCCCCAATACCGTCCTCTCAGTTGCTTGCCAGCATCCTGGGGCCGACAGGGGGGCGGGCCAGGCCCCTCCCGCGCCCTGACGCAGTGCAACAGCCAGCGCAGTTGCGGCCTGCCTCGAGGCGCGGGGCGGGCCCCATCCGCCCCATGCAGCCCCAATTGGTGCTCAATTGGCTGTCCCGGCACCCTGTGCAGGCCGCGAGCGCACCCAGCGGCCGGCCAACCGAACTTGGCGCCCAGCAGCCCAGGGCACCATGCAGGCCCACTCCCTGCTGCCCTCGGGCGTTATGCTGGACCATCCCTTCTTCTGCAAGGTGATCAGGGCCGGCGGGCGCGGCGCGCCGCAACACCGCCAAACCTTCTGGGCCACAATTTCAAACCGCCACGCACCCACGCCCACGTGCTGCAGGCGGCGCCGCAGGCGGAAACCCCCACCTCCAGCGCCGATGAGGCCGATCTGCACATCAAGAACGTGATCAAGAGCCCTCTGTGAGTGTGGCGGGCGGGGAATTGGGGCATGGCGGGTGCTGGCCTTGATGCAGCGGTGCCAGGCCCCGCCTTTAGCAACCACCGGCCACTTGCGGCGCACTTCGGCTGCCGCCGCTCCCCGCGTCATTGACCTGGTGCTCCGCCCTCCCCCCGCCTCTCCCCTGGGCCCTGCAGCGCCAAGAATGACCAGATCTCTGCGGCCAAGCCCAGCCCCAGCGACAGCGAGGTGTCTGCAGGCGTGGACAGCCGCCCCGCGGCGTGCGGCGCGCCAGGCGTGGTGGACCAGCCGCCGCCTGCTGCCTTCTGCGGCTTCCCCGCAGCCGCCGCCGCCGCCGCCATCCCCGACCCCTTCCTCGCCGGGACCGCCGCGCCAGCGCCTGGTAGCGGCGCCAGCAGCCCAGCCCCTTGGCTCATGGGTCTGTTCAACTCCTCGCTCTTTGAGGCCGCCGGCTGCCGCTGCCACCCTGGCGTTGTGCGCAACGGTACCATGAAGCGCAACGAGAACAACCAGTACTGCCTGGGCTGCACGCACGCGCACGGCGCCGGCATGTGCAAGCTCTGCCTGCCCGCCCACGCCGCCTGCTGCCCGGGGCGCGTCTTCCAGATACGCAAGTACATGTGAGGGAGGCGGGGCCGCCGGCGCCGCCGCCTGCCCGCCTTGCCCGCCCTGCCTGCCTGCTGCCGCAGCTGCCTGCCAGCCTTCCCCGCCTGCCTGCCCGCCTGCCGCCCAGCGATGCAAGCACGCCACCAGCCCCCAACCCTGCCTCCTCCACCTGCCTCACCCGCCTGCCTGCCTGCCCTGGCGCCCGCGCCCCGCCCGCAGGTACCAGACGTGCGTGCATGTTGACGACATCCAGCCACTGTACGATGTGGGCGGGGTGCAGGCGTACTGCATCAACTCGCGCCGCGCGGTGCTCATCCACCCGAAGGCAAGCGGGCACGAGGGGGAGGGGAGGGGCAGAGGGGCAGGTGGGGGAGGGAGGGGGATCAAGCAGGCGGGCCCCAGCCAGCGCGGGCCCTCACACAGCCAGGGGCGACAGGCCTTCAGGACCAGCTGCTCCGCAAGCACCTGCCGCCTGCATGCCTGCATGCGCCGGCCTGGCTGGCAATCACGTCGCTGACGCTGCCCTGCCCCCGCCCCCTTGTCCCCCACCCTGCCGCAGAATGTGGAGAAGGAGCAGAAGTGCCCCGCCTTTGACCACGCCTGCCTGGGCTGCCACAAGCCGCTGCGCCACGACTGCACCTACTGCTCGCTGCGATGCAAGGTGGACGTGGAGTTTGGGCTGGCGCCCATCACCCCCAGGGGCGCGGCCGCGGCCGCGCGCGGCGACAGCGGCGGCGGCGGCGGCATGGCGCCCGCGGCGGCGGCGGCGGCGGCGGCGGCGATGCTGCTGACCACGCAGCCGCGGCAGCAGGCTGTGAGCAGGTGCGCCGCGTGCTGCCGCTGCTGCTGCTTCTCCCTCTTCCTCTTCCCATGGAAGGCTGCCGCCTCGTGGTGGGCCGCACTCCTGGGGCCTGGCTGCGCGGTGGCTTGGCATGTGCCAGCTGGCGGCCGCTCATGCCCCCGCTTGTGTGCCGACCCGCTGCCGCAGGCTGGCATCCGCCAAGCGGTCGTCATTCAGCGCCGCCGCCGCGGTGGCGGCTGCCGCTGTGGCGGCGGCGGCGGCGGCAGTGCTGCCTGCGGCCTGCTCCCTGGATGTCTCGCATGCCACGCGCTGCAGCAGCGGCTTCGAATCGGGCAGCACCCGCAGCAAGCGGCGGAAGACGGAGCGGCCGGAGCGCAGCCGCGTCAGCTGAGGGCGCCGCCTGCAGCGCCCACCCCCCGCCACCCACCTACCTGCCTGACCTGACCGCGCCGCGGGCGGCCCTGCGCGCCTGCAGCCCTCTGTGAAGCACACCAACCCGCCCCCCCCCCACCTGCCAGCCGCCCGCGCGGCCAATTGCTTGCGCGGGCGGCACCGCCGCAGCATTCCCCCCCCTGCCGTGAGCGGCCCACGATTACGCAGCAGACTTAGCCCGTGGACTGTGATATACCACCCTGAAATGCAACGCTGTGCAACCAAATGAAGGCCCCCCTTTGGCCCACCCCACCCCCCTCGCACTCCTTTCATTTTTTTGCAGCCTTTTGAACCCTGTTTCTTTGCTTCCGCTCGGGTTTCTGATGCCCGCCCCCTCTGTCTGTGGGGGCGGGCCCCTCCTGCTGTACATAATGATGTAGCCTCCCTCCCCTCCGACCCCCTTTTCCCACACTGCCCCCACCAAGCCCACTTTGCCACGCAGCTGCTGCAAGCGCTGCGCACTGAATGACCAAAGAAGAATGAATGCCATTGCTCTCAGACTGTGAATCATTAGCTCAGGGAGTCGAAACGCGGCAGGAATAGCAGTGTGTGGTTGGCAGGTGCTAAACGAAAGGGCAGCAGGGCGCAGTGCAAGCAATGGGCAGGGTGGGTCAGGCTGGTGGCAGGCTGGTGGCGGGCAGCCACCCCACTCATTTCCTGCCGCCAAACTTGCGTGCGCCGCCAAAGCCGCGGCCGCCGCTGCTGCCGCCGCGGCCGCCGAAGCCGCCGCGGCCGCCGCCGCTGCTGCCGCCGCGGCCGCCATACCCCGCGCCGCGCCCGCCGTACCCCCCTGCCCGCTGGAAGCCGTTGCCGGGGCTGCCAAAGCCTGCGCCGCCGCCGCCGTACTGCTGCTCCCGTTCCTTGAGCTCCGGCAGGGAGGTGGCCACCTGGAGGTGTGCGGTGGCGCGCGTCCCCTCGTTCTTGCCGCACTTTGCCAAAAACTCCTGCAGGGCGGGGTGCGGGCGGGCACGCGGTGAGCGAGCAGCTGCTGGGCGGGACACTGCCCCGCAGGCAGGCAAGGCGGGAGGGCGCTCCAGCAGGGCGCTGCGGCAGGGCGCGGCTGTGCAGTCTAGGGCCCCGAGAGCCCCCACCTTCGCCAGGCTGGTGGGCACGTCAAACACGGCGCCCAGGCCGTCTGCGGTGAGCGTCATGCGCTTGGCCTCCTCCACAGTCTCCTCCTCGTGCATGTGCTTGCGCAGGAAGCCAAACACCTGCGCAAGGGGGGGAGCGGGACGCTGCTTGGTGTGTGTGTGCGCGTGTGTGTGTGTGCGCGCACGCGTGTGTGTGTGTGTGTGTGTGGTGTGCAGGGCAGAGACTCCAAGCGTCACAGCCTGCCGGCCGCCGCGCCGCACCTGCCCCGGCTTCTCCACCGGCCAGGGCGACACAAAGCGCAGGGTGGTGAAGTCCTCGTGCGCGGTGAGCAGCGAGCGCGGCCGCATCTCCACGTGCCCCGTGATCTTGGCCAGAGCCAGCGCCACGGCATCCTCGGGGCTGCCCACAGACTGGGGCGGGGGCAGGGGGGGGAGGGGGAGGGCGGGGGAGGGCGGGGGGGGTAGAGTGAGGAGGAGGAGGTAGTGATCAGGAGGCGGGGCCCTGGCCCCCTGCCCGCTCCTCTCCCAGCAGGCCCCAGCAGCCCCGCACCCGCTCCTTGCTGCCGCCAGCCGCGGCCCCCGCCGCCCCCACCCACCTCCAGCAGCTTCTGGGCGGCTGCCCTGAAGAAGGGCAGTACCGACACGTCCACCGCCTGCACCGCCTCCAGCGCCCGCTCCCCCGCCAGCTGCGCCATGTCGCTGGGCTGGGGGGCGCCCACCCGCTCAAACTTGAGGCCCGCCTTGGTCTGGATGTAGGGGATGAGGCCCTCCTTGCGACGGTCCACCAGCGTCAGGCAGATGCCCGTCTGGCCCGCGCGCCCCGTGCGCCCGCTGCGGTGGATGTACGTCTGCGGGAGGGGGCGGGGAGGGAGGGAGGGTGGCGGCGGCGTGGGGAGTGGCAGACGGGGAGGCTGGGGGCGCAGCAGCGCGGCAACGCTGCGGCACCCCACTTTTGTGCACAGCCCCAGACCCGACCCTGCCCCCCAGCCCCAGCCTTCAGCCCCAGCCCCAGCCCTGCCCCCCAGCCCCAAGCCGCAGCCGCAGCCCTCAGCCCGACCAGCCCCCCCAGCGCCGCACCTCTGGGTCCTTGGGCGGCTCCAGCTGGATCACCAGCTCCACGCCGCTGATGTCCAGGCCGCGCGCCGCCACGTCGGTGGCCACCAGCACGCTGAACTTGCCGCTGCGGAAGCCGGCCAGCGTGACCTGCGGCAGGCGGGGCGGGGGCGGGGGCACGGGGGTCAGAGCGGCCGCGGGCGGGGGGCAAGTGCCTGGCTGCGCTGGCGAATCCGGTGGGGGGCGGGCTGCTCTTGCATAGAGCCCGCCGCACAGCTGCCAGCCCCGCCCGCTTCCTCCCTCACCCAGCCACCCGCTCCTGCCCCCCCCCGCCCCACCCCACCCCGCCCCCGTCCCCACCTCGCGCTGGCCCTGCGGGATGTCTCCGTGCAGCGCGCGCGCCCCGAAGCTCTCTGCCAGCGTGCCCGACAGCTCGTTGGCGTCGTTCTTGGTCTCGGTGAAGATGATGGTGCGGCCGCACACGCCTGGGGGGAGGAGGGGGGGAGGGAGGGAGGCAGGGGGAGGCAGGGGGGCAGTGTGTGGGTGTGGGTGCGTGCGTGGGTAGGTGGGTAGGTGGGTAGGCGACTGGCCAGCAGGCCGGTGGTGGGGACACAGCCCAGGTGACAGCCCAGGCGCAAGCCGCTCGCCCCCCCCAAACGCGCGGCTGCCCGGCGGCCTGCTGCCGCGGCCCCTCACCGTAGCACTTGACCAGGTCGGGCACAATCTGGGAGCGCTGGCTCCAGTGGCACGGCAGCAGCAGGTGGCGCACGCTGGTGGAGGCCTGCGGGGGGGCGGGCAGGCAGGGACCGCTTCAGGCGCTGCATGGGCGCGGCAGGCGGGGGTCTCCGCAGCAGCACACCAAGCCCCTCCTGCCCTTGTCGATGCACCCCTGCTCCTTTGCGCCGCGGCTCCCCAGGCGCCGCCTGCCACGCGCCGGCTAGGCTATACGCCCTCACGGGCCGCGCCTGCCTGCCACAGCAGGCAGGCAGGCAGCGCCCATGCCACGGTGTATGTGCCGGGCCCCCCCCCCGGCAGTGCGGCCCACCTTCATCTTCTGGCTGCCCACCAGGTCCACTGTGGTGAAGCCGGGCTTGAGGAAGCGCTTGGTGATGTCCTTGACCCAGTGGGGCAGCGTGGCGGAGAAGAGCAGCGTCTGCACCGTGGCGGCGTCCACCCCGGCGTTCAAAATCTTCTCCACGTCCTCCACAAACCCCATGTTGAGCATCTCGTCGCACTCATCCAGCACGCGGAAGCGCAGCTGGCTGCGGGGGAGGGAGGGAGGGCGGGAGCGGCGGCGCAGGGCGGCGGCGGGTGAGCCCGGCGCGGCTGGCTGCACGGCGGGCCTGCTCCTGCCCATGGCACCCCTCACACACACACACGCATACACACCTGCAAGCCTCCCTGCCTGCCCGCCCCAGCACCCCGCCACGCTGTCCTGGCCCCCTCCCAGCCTCCACCAGCCTCCACCCCTCCACCCCTCCACCCGCACAGCACCCCCTGCCCTCACTTGAGCTTGAGTGTGCCTCGCTCCAGGTGGTCCTTCACGCGGCCGGGGGTGCCGATCACCACATCCACGCCGCGCCGCAGCATGCCCTCCTGCGGCCCGTACTGCGTGCCGCCGTACAGGCAGACGGTGGTGAGGGAGAAGGCCTTGGCGTAGTACTCAAAGTCGGCGGCCACCTGGGGAGGGGGAGGGGGAGGCAGGGGTGGGGTGGGTGGTGGACGCAGGAACGGCAGCCGTGGCCCGGCCCCGAGCGGCGCCGCCGTGTGAGCGAGCGGCTGGCAGCTTCTCGGCACCGCGTGCCCCCTGGACTGAGCACCGCACGCGAGCAGGCCCCCCCAGCAGCAGGCGGCCTGGCCTGCCCATCTGCCGGCGGCGCACCTGCTTGGCCAGCTCCCGCGTGGGTGCCAGCACCACCACGCTGGGCGCGCGCCCGAAGGCGCGCTTGCCCCCCGCGCCTTGGCCCCCCGCCAGCCGCTCCACGATGGGCAGCACAAAGGCCAGGGTCTTGCCGCACCCGGTGCGCGCCCGCCCCACCAGGTCCTGCCCTTCCAGCAGCGGCGGCAGGCACTGCGCCTGGATGTCAAACAGCGCCTCGATGCCCTTGGCGCGCAGCAGGCTCTTCACTGGCTCAGACAGCTTGAAGTTGTCCAGGGCCAGAGGGCTGGGGGCGGCGGCCGGCGCCTCGCCGGGCGAGGCAGCCGCGGGCGCGTCGGCGGCCGGAGCCGCCGCCGCCGCCACCGCGGGGGCGTCGCTGCCCTCGCCGTCGCTGCTCTTGGCCTTCTTTGATTTCTTGACCTTCTTCTCCGGCACCACCGGGGTGTCTGCAGGCGGGCGGGCGGACGAGTCAGGCCCCTGTCTTCGTGCAGCGCGCCCCAGCCGCCACACAATGCATGCTGCCTGCGGGCCTCACCTGCTGCCGCCTCGACCTGCTTCCGCTTCTTCTCCTTCTTCTCCTTCTTCTCAGACTTCTGCTTCTTGGGCTTGGCCTCCATTGCGGTCGACATGGTGCGCCAGGGAGCAGCAGCAAACACAGGCAAAGCCAGCGCTAGCTAGAACTGCTAGGTGGGAAAGGACAGTGGCCTGCCGAACCCACCATGAATACCCTGCCGCCCAGCGCACGAAGCGCCGGCGCCGCCTCCACCGCTGATGAGGTCTCTGCTGAAACAACACCAGCGGTGGGGCACCCTGGCCTTGAGATGCAACAGCACAATCCCGTTTAGTGTTTTGCTGCGCTCCCGTGTTTGGCACAGGACATTCGCCTGCGCCGAAGCCGGCTTGGCGCACGGCATGCGCGGCACCATCAGGATTGCATGCATGCCAAGCGCATTGCGTCTCACCGAGTCCTTCCTGCATCGTGCATCATTTGTAGCATCTGGGACTGCGGCTGCCGGTGCTGCCAACCTCTCTTCACCACCAAGCGCTGCAATGCTAGTCGCTGCGGCTGTGCAGCGGGCGGCAGGGAGCCCCTGCTCCACAAGTGGGCGCGCTGCGGCCTCCTGCGTGCCCCGTGGCGTGAGGAGGTGCAGGAATGCGCGGCTGCTCGTGCGCTCCTCAGCCCTGGAGCAGCTGGCGCCACCACCGATCGACGAGGAGGAGGATGCCCTGTTCTGTGGTGTCGAGGGTGCGCACCTGGGGCGGCCCTGCTGGTGTTGGCGGGGACCGAGCAGGGCGGCGCCACCGCCCTCTTCTCCCGCTGCCACCTGCGCCTTGCCTGCCCTCTGCAACATCACGCAGCCTGTGCTGCGAGCCTGGGATGCCCTGGAGCCGCGATCTGCATGGCCTGGGGCACGATCCTGAGCTGCAGTCGGCCGCGCCGCCTCTCCTGGCGGCAGCGGCAGCCAGCGTGCCCCCGCGCCCGCCTCCCCACCCGTGCCTCTCCCGTGCCCCGCCCGCGCCGCCGCCCCGCAGGCCAGGTCCTGTCCCGCCCCGCGCTGGCTGGCGGCAGCGGCAAGAAGTACCACATCATCACCTTTGGCTGCCAGATGAACAGCGCCGACTCGGAGCGCATGGCCGGGTGCCTGGAGGAGGCGGGGTACCGCTGCGTGGAGGAGGCGGGGCACGCGGACGTGCTGGTGTACAACACGTGCAGCATCCGGGAGAAGGCGGAGCTGAAGCTGTACTCCGCTCTGGGGCGGCAGGCCAAGCGCAAGCGCCAGCACATGGGCGACCTCAAGATTGTGGTGGCGGGGTGCGTGGCGGCGCAGGAGGGGCACGCCCTGCTGCGCCGCGTGCCCGAGGTCGACCTGGTCATGGGGCCCCACCACGCCAACCGCATCGGCGACCTGCTGGAGCAGGTGGAGGCGGGGAGCCAGGTGGTGGCGGTGGAGCACGCGCCCATAGAGGAGGACATCACGGCGCCGCGACGCGACTCAGCAATCACAGCCTGGGTCAACGTCATTCACGGGTGCAACGAAAAGGTGTGTGTGGGGGGGGAGGGGGGGGGGAGGGGCTGCGGGGGATGGCGGACCTGGTGCTGCTGCGGTGGCAGGCTGGTGGTGGCAATGCGCGGCTGCGTGCACCGGGGATGGAGGGGCGGCATGGAGTGCCATGCTTCGCCGGCCCGCCCCTCCCCGCTCACCGCACCGCGTGCCCTTCCCTACCGCCTGCCTCCCCACCACCCCGCCCCACCCCCCACACACACGCAGTGCACCTACTGCATCGTGCCCTTCACGCGCGGCCAGGAGCAGAGCCGCACCCCCGAGGCCATCCGGCGCGAGATGCTGTCCCTGGGGGAGGCGGGGTACCGCGAGGTGACGCTGCTGGGGCAGAACGTGGACGCCTACGGCCGAGACCTGCCCGGCTTTGCGCCCGACAACTCGGGGCGCCGCGCCTGGACCTTCAATGACCTGCTGCGACACGTGCACGACGTGCCAGGTGGGCGGCGGCGGCGGCGGCGGCGGCGGGCCAGGCCCTGGGCGGCGGTGCGGGGGCGGGAGGGAGAGGGGTGCGCGGCGGGCGGGCTGCTGGGCGCCGGGGCCCGTGCAGGCCTGGGCTGGGCCCCTGGGGCTGGGCTGAGCCTCTGGCGCGCCTTGCCGCATGCATGTGGCGCAGGCATCGCGCGCATCCGCTTTGCCACCTCCCACCCCCGCTACTTCACGGAGCGCCTCATCAGGTGGGCGGGCGGGCGGTGGGGGGGGCCGCAGCGCGGCATGCGTGCATGCATCCACACGTGCAGCGCAGCAGCGCCAGCTCAGCACGGCGCCCGCTGCCGCTCCCCAGCTCCAGCTGCAGCCAGGGAGGCGGGCAGGCGCGCAGGAGTGCAGGAGAGGGCGCGAGGTGCAGGACCCGATCTGGCTCAAAAACCGCCCCCCCACCCCCGCAGGGCATGCGCCGAGCTGGACAAGCTCTGCGAGTTCTTCCACGTGCCCTTCCAGTCGGGGGACAACTACATCCTGCGGGAGATGAAGCGAGGTGGGGGCCGGGCCTGTGTGTGTGTGTGTGTGGCACCGGCGGCATGGGGCGCCCGCCCCCCTCCCTCGTGGCCACCACACGCCACCTGCTGCCTCCCATCCCCTGCCCGCCGCCTCTCCCACACCACACCCTGCCCTGCACGCCTGCCGCCCCCCGCACCCACCCACACCCCCAGGCTACACCCACGAGCGGTACCGCGAGATGGTGCACACCATCCGGCGCCACATGCCCGACGCCTCCATCAGCGGCGACGCCATCGTGGGGTTCCCCGGGGAGAGCGAGGAGCAGTTTGAGCGCACGGTGGCGCTGGTGGAGGAGGTGGGGTTCGACAGGGTCAACACCGGTGAGGCGGGTGGGCATGCGGTGGAGCGGGGGAGAGGCGGCGCGAGGGAGTGGGGCTGGGTGGGGGAGAGGCTGGTGCGCGCAAGCGCCGAGCGGTGCGGTGGCACGGGCGTGCGCCGGGCCAGGCCTCGGCGCCCCGCCAGCCGCGGGCCCTGCGCTGCCGCCGATGCCCGCCGCTCCCCCCTGCCCTGCCGCCCTCTTTACCCTCCCCGCAGCCGCCTACTCGCCGCGGCCGGGCACCCCCGCCGCCGTGTGGGACGGCCAGGTGGCGGACCTGGTGAAGGCGGACCGCCTCAACCGCCTGAATGCGGTGGTGAACCGTGTGGCGGAGGAGCGGGCGCAGCGGTTCCTGGGCAGGGAGCTGGAGGTGTTGGTGGAGGGGCCCAACCCGCGCGACCCGGCGCAGGTGGGTGCCGGGCAGGGCGCGGGGGTGGGGCGCCACGCGTGTGGGCATGGGCGTGCGTGCTCCTGCAGTCCAACTGCACCGCGGCGCCTGCAGCTGGAGGCGTGCTGGGGTGGCGGCACAGCCCGTGGGCCTGAGCCACCCTGTGCGGCGCCCCTGCAGGCGGTGGGGCGCACGCGGCACAACAAGCTGCTCTACTTTGCCGGCGACGGCGAGGCGCTGCGGGGGCAGCTGGTGGATGTGCGGGTGGACCGCGTGCATGCCTACACGCTGTACGGCAGCATGGCGGGGTGAGGGCACCCTGGGCCCAGGCCTGCCTCCCTATCCTGCTGTGATTCTGCACCCCCCGCTCTTCCTTGCTTCTGACGGCCGCACCCTTCTGTTCTGACTACTCTTCTGTGCTCTCAATATTTCTGACGTTTAATTTACTCCTCCCTGGGAGGATAGCAGTTGAGAGGAAGAACAGAGAACAGGGAGAACGGCAGCCATGTGGCAGCGAGCAGGGAGGGCTGGAAGAATAAGCGGATCGATGAAATCGTCAAGAGCTGTTGGCGGCATTGAAGGGGGATGATTACTGATAAAGGAGGGGATGAGTGGCAGTTGTACAGGAGGTTTATGATATCACGGTGACCTCGCCAGCGACCCGTCGGTGGCCTCTGGCTGCTGCTCCTCCACGCCGCTGCACTCGCCAGCCGCTGCCTCGGCCCCGGCCTCTTCCAGCAGGCTCAGGCGGGCACGCACCTTGGCCTGCACGGCGCGCCAGTGGGGCGGGGCAGGCTGAAGGACGAGGCGAGCTGATGCCCGCCATCCAGCACGGGGCCGCACAGGGCAGTACCGGGCAGCAGTACCGGGTGGCAGTACCATGCAGCGCAGGTACCGCACGCAGCGGCTGCCCACCTCCAGCACGAACAGCTCCTCGTCCTGCACCCCCATGCCCCGCATGGCGTCCGCCAGGCGGAACAGGTACTCAGAGTTGGGGCCGCTGGGGCCGCGCGCGGTGGCAATCTGGCGCGCCACCTCCTCCAGCGGGGCTGGCCCCAGGAAGTTGGGGTTGGCGGCGCGGTCGGCGGTGGCCACAAAGGTGAGGGCCACGAGGCGGGGCTGGCGCGCGCCGGTGGCGGCGGTGTAGACGGGGACCTTCAGGCGGAGGTCGTACTGCTTCTCTCTGCACCGCACAGCAGCCGGTGAGTGTGCCGCACCAACCAGCCGGCAGCAGCAGCACCTCCAAATGCATGTCGCTGCCATGTGTTCATCAAAGCCAGGGGCAATGCGGCAACACCGACGCGCATCCAATCACGCGACCCCACCCACCTCCACTCCAGATACTCCCAGGTGCGCCGCCGCTGCTCCGCGTCGCCCGCCAGCCGGAAGGCGGCGCCCCACTGCAGCGGCGGCGCACAGGGGAGCTGTGTCGCATCGCAGGGCTGCGCTGGAGCTGGGTGGGCCATGCCAACCGCACGCCACCCACCGTGACGGCTCCCTCGCAGCGCTCCAGCGTCACCGTGCGCCCCGGCGCCTCTGGCACGCCCCGGTGGTCGGTGCTGCCCTGGTGGAACACGCGACGCCAGCCGCGGATGTAGCACGGCTGCACCCTCTCCGAGTAGTCGAAGCCGGGGTGAGTGATCAGCGAGCCAAAGCCAAAGATGTACTCGCACTCCTCCACAGCCAGGTCCGCCGCCTGGCCAGGCGCGCGGCGCGGCGCCGCCGAGGCCGCCACCGTCATGCCGCGCGCTGGCCTGGGGGCGCGCGCGGCCCTGCAACTGCTCTTAGTCCACGGCGCCTGCGGATCATGCAAGAGCTTGTTCAGCAGAGGGGTTGCCTTCAATAGCGGCCCGGGGGTGGCGGGAGCTGCGGTGCCGGCAACCGGGCGGGGGTGTGCCCTTCCCCAGCATGGCGCGTCGGGACTGCACACGGATCCATCGACCTTGCAGTCACACGCCCAACTCACCTGCTGGCCAGCCGAGAGGTGCAGCCTAGAGGGAGGCTGCTTTACCAGCACAGCCGTCCTCGCTGCGGCCGGGCCCAGCATACCAATTGCCGCTACACCGGTTGCTAGAGGTCTGTGGGGCAGCTGGCCCTTTGTTTGGTCATGTGCTGGGCGTGCTGGGAAGCAGAGCGGGACAGGGGGGGTGGTGAGGAAGTGAATGGCCATTGGGATCTCATTCGGAGAGGCTGGCTGCACCCCAGGCAGTCTCTGAGGGGTGGCAGCTGCAGGGAGCGAGACATGGTGGTAGCGGGTTTTATGTCTGGTGTGGGGCAGGCCTTGGGCGCGCTGCTGGTGAGCCACGTGCCTGATATGGATGCGCCTGACTCGTTTTTGCCCGCGCAGGCATCGCAGCCGCTCATTTTACGGTGTCGGCAGCGGTGACAAGGATGCCCCGCCCGCCTCCTCCCCTCCCTCCCTACTGTTGTTGTGTGCAGGTGGCGCTGCTGATCTATGGCCTGCATCCCCTGAAGCGCTGGCGCTACCGACACTTCCCAGGTGAGCTCTGCAGGCAGGCGCACGCTCAGCCGGTTGCCATGCCTTCTCATCGCCAGCCACGGCGTGCTTGCCCCCTGATCACAGGACCGTTCAACTGGCCTTTCGTGGGCAACTTGGTGGAGATGCTGAGGGACGGCCAGGAGACTGCATGCGCCCGCTGGAGCCGCCAGCATCCGGGCATCTGGTGCTTCTGGCTGGGTGGCATCCCAGTAGTCATGACAGATGAGCCCGAGCTGGCCAGGCGCGTTGGGGGAAAGCATTGAGGGAAAGCATTTGCCTGAATGTGATTGTGCCATAATTTGGTCTGGGCTGCTGCCCACAGCGCTGCACGCCTGTGCAGGAGGGTGCTGGTGCGCCCCGCACGCCACAAGATCTACTCGCTGCACGTGGGAGAGCAGGGCAGATGGGACTCCCACAACCTCGTCTTTGTCAAGTGAGGGGCTGGCTGGGTGGGGCGCCTCAGCTTGCCTTGCGCGTTTCTGCTGCATGCACAGCTACTCATCAGCCCCTCCCCTCCTCCTGCCTGCAGCGGGGAGAAGTGGAAGGTGACCCGCAACGCGTGGCAGCCCTTCTTCAGCCGCGACAACGTCAGCCGCCACGGCAAGCTGATGGGCGACTCCGCCGACAAGCTGTGCTCGCAGCTGCATGCCGCGGCGGCAGAGGGGCGGGGGGTGGACATCTGGAGGGAGGCGGGGCGCATGACGCTGGATGTGGTGGGGACGACCGCGTTTGGGTGAGCAGGATTGAGAGAGGAGGCTGAGCCCTCGGTTGTGCTGGCTTGGTTTGCCCGGCAGCAGGGGTGGCTCGCGGTTGTCTGGATGCGCACCTTGTTACCTGTCTGCCCGCGCTTCGAGTCAGCATGATGTCCCCGCAATGCACCTGATCTTGCTTGGCTGCCCAGCTGCCTGTGCCTGCCCTGCGCCCGACCACTGCAGCGTCGACTTCAACACGCTGGACCAGAAGGATGGGGTGGAGGGCGGCCGCCGCCTGCGCAGCACCCCCACCGAGCGCCTCGTCTGGGCGGTGCAAGTCTTCTTCGAGCTGTTTGGTGGGCGAGCCGCGTTCAGCGCTTCATGCGATGTTTTGGCATGCTGAGGCAGCAGCAGCATCTTCTGCCTGATGTGGAGAGCGATCTGCCTGCCTCCATGCAGGCCTGGGCAACATCTATTTCGCCCTCTTCTTCTTGGTCCCCGAGCTGGAGCAGGGCATCAAGTGGATGGCCAACCGCCTGCCCAACAAGTCCTTCAAGCAGGTGAGCATTTTGTCTTTTTGGCGAGCGTTGCAAGCACATATGCATATGTGATCACAACGTTGGATGCGGCGCAGGAGCTGGAGGCACGCAGGGAGCTGAGGCAGGTGGGCACGGAGCTGGTGCAGCAGGCCCGGCAGCACCTGGGCGGCTCGGGCGGCTCGGGCGGCGCGCGGCCCAGCGTGGTGCACCCGGGCTCCTTTCTGGCCCTCATCCTGCCGCACGTGGGCGAAGCGGTGGGCGCAGAGGTCCTGGACGACAGCTGGGCCTCCAACCAGGCCGCCACCTTCATCCTGGCAGGGTGCGGTGGCACCGTGCAGCCTCATGCCTTTGTGCCCTTCCATGCGCCATGCCTGACAACGCTGGAAGCAGGGACCTGGGGGCTTGGTTCAGCCCGAGGGCAGTCCCTCCCCTGGCCCTCTCGCAGGTACGAGACCACCGCCAACTCCATCGGCTTTGCCATCTACCTGGTCAGCTCACACCCGGGTGCGCCGCGGCGGCAGCAGCCACAGCCAGCCGGGCCTGGGCAACGCAGCTGGGCTGGCCCCGCGCATGCCGCAGCTGGTGACAGCCCTGCGGCCGCCCCCCCCCCCCCCCCCCCCCGAGCTGCGCGTGCAGAGGCGCGGCTGCTGGCGGAGCTGGATGCCTGGGGGCGCGGCCGGCTGCCCACGCTGCAGGAGCTGGAGGGCGGCGCCCTGCCCTTTGCCCAGGCCGTGCTGAAGGAGAGCCTGCGCCTGTACCCGGCGGGCAGCACGGCGGTGAGGGAGGCCGGCGGCGGCATGACGCTCGGCGGCTACGCCGTCCCAGACCTCACGGCGGTGCAGGTGAGCGGCGGGCCCCTGTCCGCCAGGAGGCGCGCCTTCTCTGCTCCCCCGCCTGCATCCATCAACTGGCGCCAGGTCCTGGGCTCAGCCTGTCCCACCTTGTCGCCGACACACACACACACACACACACACACCTATTATTACTGCCGCGCTCCCCGTCCAGGTGTCCATCTACAGCATGCACAGGAACGAGCGCTACTGGCGCGACCCTCACGCCTTTAGGCCAGACCGCTTCATGCCCGGCACCCCCGAGGCGGCCGAGGTGTGCGGGAGGTGTTGCCGCTGCCCGGCGCAGGCGCATGTTGCGCCCCCCCAGGAAATGCAAGTGAACAACGCAGGTGCGCTGCGCCTGATCCCCTGCCCTGCCCTGCAGGTGATCCCCGGCAGCTACCTGCCCTTTGGAGATGGGAGCAGGAAGTGCATCGGCTACAGGCAAGGCCACACGTCTGCTGGCTGGCGCCAGCCACCTCCATGAATGACCACTCTCATTGCCACACTTAGACTGTCGCTTGCCGTGCAGGTTTGCTCTGCTAGAGGCCACGCTGACCCTAGTCAAGCTGTACCAGCAGGTGTGTGTGGCAGGGGCTGGGGCTCTGGGACTGCAGGTTGGTGGGACGCCATGGGCCAGCGCTGCTGTTGTAAACGTGCGGTCCCTAGCCCCCTCGCTGCCGCAGTTCACCTTTCGCCTCCTGGCGGGGCAGGTGCCCCTCAAGGTGCGGAGCATCCTCACATTGGGGCCATCAGACGGCATCAAAGTCACGGTGCACCCCCGCTAGGCACCTGCCGTGGCCGGACAGCGGCAAATGTAGGTCCCATAGGAGCGCAGGCTCTGGACGCTGCTGTGCTTTTCAACCTGTTAGGCTCGATTTCTCCTCGAGTATGCCATGCGTAATACTGGTTAGTCAAAAGGGAATGCAAGGCGACGGCAGTATGCTGGGCCCGCTTTGCGGCGGCGGCAGCTCACCTGGCATGAAGGCTGCCCCACATGCATGCACCGTAGAAAACACCTACCCTGTGCTCTGCACGAGCCCTGTTACTCGATATTGCGCAGAGCAAAATGGTGACGGACTCTCAGGCAAGTCCCCCGCCGTTGAAGCTTCAACTGCGCCAAACCCAGCTCACATGCACTTGATGGGCACGATCAATGCAGCTCACGCGCTGTTGGCTACCACCTTCTGGCATGCCTGCAGGGCAGCCGGGAGATGGCCGTCAAGGCACGCAGCGCCTCGCGGGCGCTGCAGGCGCTGCGTTCTGAGGACCGGGTGGCGATCCTGAACCGCATTGCCGACTCCCTGGAGCAGCACGAGCAGCAGATCATGGCAGAGAATGCGGTGGACGTGGCGGCGGCGGGCGGCACCATCAGCGACTCGCTGCTGCAGCGCCTGGTGCTCAAGCCCAACAAAATCCACCAGCTGGCAGGTGGGCGGCAGGGGGACCTGGGGAGGCGGTGGCAGCGCAGCAGCCAGCAGCGCCCGCCGCGGCATCGTGCCGCCGGCTCCGCAGCCGCTGCGCCCGCAAGTCCCCGCCTGCCTCCTGCCGTGCGTCGTCCGTCACGGCTGGTGAGCGCTGACCGCAGCTTTCCTCCCGCCTGCAGACGGCATCCGCGCGATAGCCAAGCAGGAGGAGCCGGTGGGCCGCCTGCTGAGCAGGCTGGAGGTAGCGGAGGGGCTGGTGCTGGACAAGGTGGGGAGTGGGGTGGGGTGGGGGGTGGGGGTGCCACCTGGGTAGACGGCCTGGCTGGGCTGCAGTGTCAGCCGGCGTGGCCTAAGCAGCAGCAGGAGCAGCAGGAGCAGCAGCAGCAGCAGGGGCAGCAAGGGCAGGGACCCCAGGGCGCTCCTAGACAGACACACACCCACACTCCCCTCCCCCCTTTCCTCCCTCCCCCGCCAGGTCACCTCCCCCATCGGCGTGCTGCTCATCAA